CTCTGACCTTCTCCTCTTTCTGCACTCATACACCATGAAGCTCACTGACAAGTGATCTCCTCCTCCCTCTGTACCTGACTTGAATTCTTTTTCCTTAGGTGCCTTTTGAATCACACCCATATTTATTTTCAGTTTCAGGAAGATGGAAAGCACATTTAAACTCAAAGTAAAGTACATTTAGAGAAAGGTAGAGCTATATCTCACAACCTGTTGTTACTGGCAAGCTCTTGCAGGCTCAAGACATATTGAGAGTGGAACCATAAGAGAAAAAATTGACAAAAAAAACATATTAGAACAAAGCACTTGAGCTCACATTTTAAACATCATAAAGTGCATGCAGAAAAGGAGACAGTCTTAAAGAATAAATTTGTAATCTAGGTTTTGCAGTACATTTCTAAAAACTCAACATTCTCGGAGCTTGAGTCAGGAGCTCCTAAGTTTGAGAACAGCACAGGCAATTTAGCAATCAAGTAAACCATTTCTCAAAATAAAGAAAATAATTGTATTATATAGCTTAGGTTATAACTCATGTCAAATTCCTTGGGTTCAATGCCAATATCAAAAAAGGACAATAATAATGTATTTCCAGAAGGCAGATACAAAGAGTTGTTATTCCAAATATATCATCATTATTTAATAAAAATATTAGCATCTGCGTATATATATAAGATGAACACATATTTCTCCACAGAAGAAATTAAAGGACCCCATGATAAGTGAAATCCAAATTCATGAAAAAGTATTTTAAACCCATTAGATTTCCAGGTTAAACTATTTTACAGATCATGAGGATCCCAGGGAATTTTGATCAGGAAGATAACTTATTTACCTTTTCAGCCCGTTAACTACTTCCAATCTTCTCACAAGTTCTCTCAAACTTTAATTTCACTTTCTCCCTTCATCACTACTTTGCCCAATTCCATAATATGATCTCAAATTTCCTCTCCACCAGCCCTCCATGCTAGATATAAAAATCTCAATAAAGTTGGACCTTTTTTCTTTCATTTGTTATCTATTTTTCTTTCTTCTTTCTGATCAACTCCCTTCTTTTTCTTTCCTTGATCAGGTACATTTCAGCTTACTGTATGCAATACAGCACAGATTTTCTGAGTTACTAAGGAAAGGATGAAATAATTAAAACAAATTTAATTTACATGATTGATATGTAGCTGGCTCTGTAGAAGATGGGGTAATCAGTAGTGGCTCTCTCTGCACAATTAAGTGACAGTGATTCTATTGCACTGAGAAGGTTGAAGCGATGTATAAATATAGATAACAAAACTGGAAAACATGTGCTAAAGAAATAGTCATACTAGTTATAGAAGATCTCTATTCAAATTGATCCTCAACCTTGAGGACAAAAAAACAAAAGAAACTTGAGAATACAAGTAAACAATGTCCTCAAAAATACTTTTTTTTCTCATTGAGTTTATTGGTGATTTTTAGGTATACAGTACAGTTACATTCATCATTGGGATCTTGTACCTTTACACGACAGGTCTTGGTTCTCATTTTTCCCCATACCCCTCCCCTCCCTTCACCCCATCCTCCCTTCCCTATTTACAAAAACTTTATTTCCATTTTTTCATTTTCTCAGATATTTTTCTCCTTTATTTCCTTTCCCTTACCCTTCCCATTTCTCCTACACCTTTAGCCTTTTTCTTCCTATTTCATGTTGTAAATTATAGCATTAGCATCTTACTTACAATTATAGTTTTTCACTCCAGAGAAACTATTTGGTATTTACATGTGTGATTTATTTATTTCATTTAAGACTATAACCTCAATATGTATCCATCTTCCTCTGAATGACTCTAATTTCTCATTTTTTATGGCTGGGTAGCATTCCATTTTATAGAAAAAACACATCTTCCTTATCCAGTCTCCAACTGATGGGCAATTAGAATTAGGCTGTTTAACTTCCCAAAAGCTGCTCTCATGAGCACGGAAATAAAGCCAAATGGCTGAAACATATACACACACACACACACACACACACACACACACAAATGAAATGAATCACAGGATGTTCAGGTAAGCTCAAAGATGGTGTCATTATACAGATAAAGGACTTAACTGATAAAATGATCATTAAGCTTGAAGAAGACACAAGACGTTGGGTGAAGAGAACAAGATTATAAATGTGTGAATTATAGTTTTGTTAAATAGTTAGAGAATATGAAAATATACAAAAATATGAGCATAAAATTCTGGACAGTATAAATGAACAATGTCAGAACTAGAGGCTAAAGTAATAGAGCAGGTAAAAAAGAGTGACTTGAAAAATAGTGTACAATAAAACCTCTCAAAGCCTGTCTATCACTGCAAGAGTATTTGAAGGGACATCTACATATAAACCATAACAGTCCCTCTAAGTAAAAGACTCAGTCAAAAACAGACAACTGAAATAAATAATTTCAGAATTAGAGGTTGAAATCATTGATACTTATGTGACCAAATGTTTAACACCTCTGGCCATAAAAAATGTTTTTCCACATTAATCTAGTAATAATGGCTATTATGAAGAATTCAAAAAACAATAAATGTTGAGTAAATTATTATGGGTATAAAAAGATCTTCCTGTACATTGTTCATGGAGATAGAATCCTGTACAACCACTGTGGAAATCAATATGGAAATTCATTAGACAACTAATAGTAGAAGTTCTGTTAGATCCAGCATTATTTCTCTGTGTATTTTCCAGAAAGAGTTAAAGTTTAAGCAATGATATCCGGTAAAAACATTGCAGTTAGCAGTGTCAATAAATACAGGTTTCATATTCTGCATAAAATACAGAAAACAATAACTAAACTTCAAGACACATGAATACACTGGTGGATAGATTTTGCTGACTGTTTCTTTAAAACACCATTGGTACATTTATAATTATATTTACCTATATATAGGCTATATTTTTGTATGTGAAATTTGATTAGGCTTCCCTACATGATGTATAGAGGTCAGTAAAATGGAGGATAGGAATTTATTACAAAAGTACAATCTGTTACACATTTCAGGTATGTGAAGTGGAAGTGAACAGAAGCAATCAAAAGAAATGAATTGTTTTCACCTGCCTGCCTCAGGGTTCAGGAAAGCCACCACCCTGAGTTCTACTCTCCTGTGGAGTTGTTTTTTAATGACGTGCACTCATGGGATCAGAATAGGAGTAACATTTCTGATCTAATGAGGAGCACTGGATATTGTGTCCCCTGGGATACAGAGAATGTAGGTGTCAGCCAGGGAAAACCTCACTCAAAAGCCCTGCCCAGTAGGGAAGCAGCAGCTGCTGGTCCTCCAAGAAATGATCCTTTGTGATATAGAACCCACTGATTCAGGAGATCCCTCTGCCCTTTCTTAGAACCGATTAACTCTCTTCCACATCCAGGTGAGATGCTGAAAATAATTCTGAGTGAAGCATCCATGCAACCTAAAGTTTCTTAGTTAATGCTTTGAACATGAACAAGGATACTTTGCTACAATTCCATCCAAAAGGAGCTATGGGGTGAGCACATATATAAGAAGATGAGAAACATGTCCCCATGAGCCTGATTTCATTTACATTTTTAGCAATATTCATCCACTTCTTGTCCCTGATGTCTATTCAAAAGAGGAGGGATAATTTTATCTGGGAACTGAAATATAAATCTGTGGCTTCTCAGAAAAGATGACTCTCATAAAATATTCTGTCATTTACTTAATTCTTTTGGTGGTTATGGGGATTTGCCTGAGTGTACATGTTTTTTGGATGTGTTACAACAATGCACACATAATGGGTTAAGTAATAAATCAACTTCACTTTTTCAGAATTTTGGAGGCTAGAAATTTGTGATCACAGTGTTGGCAGAGTTCATTCCTCCTAAGGACTCTCCTTGGTTGATCCTATCTCAGTGTCTTCCCATAGTCTTCTCTCTCTCTCTCTCTCTCTCTCTCTCTCTCTCTCTCTTTCTGACTGCTCTCTAATTTCATTTTAAGGATCTTGTCATACTGGATTAGGGCTCAATCAAAATACTACTTTTTATGTGAGCTAGCTTTTCAAATAAACTTCTCAAGACAGTCAGTCTGAAATTTTGGGGGCTCTGTTTTACCCCATAAGTTTTAAAATGATTGAATTTAGCCTAGAAAAATCAATGTTTCTTTTATTTATTTTTTAGTTTCTTCAGCCAGAATTGTATAGAAAGTTGGTCCTAATCTCTGGGAGAAAATTACTGTGAAAATTCTGATGAAGGAAGTCTCACTCTGCAGGAAGCCTCTCCCTGCAGTTTCTCAAACTCTATGCCCTGCTCTGATATATGTGTTCCACCTGTAATAGTATAATGGGTAGGAATGGGCATATCTTAAAAATAAAGGTGAAAAGAAAGAAAATTCTTTAGTCATAAATGGAAATCTTGAGACCAAATGCATCATTTACAAATGTTAATTCTGCCCTACTCAAGGATATTAGCATAGCTTCTTCAAGATATTAAAAATGGTCACACCAGCAGATCTCTCAGTCTTTTCCAAACATGGACAGTGTGTTTTTGTCTATGCTGTTTCCCTGTAGCTCCATGAGGCCCACAGCTAAATAGTCTGATTCAAAGTTTGACAATTTTGGGTGAATGGAAGTATACTAACAATTGAAACTATCATTTGTCTTATTGTATTGACAATGTTAGCCTTTGCCACATAGTGTAAAGAAGAGTTGGTTTTAGATCAAAATAACAAGAGTTAAAGTAGGTTTGAGGCAAGACATGATATTAGAGAATGGCAGTGAAGCTTTGAGTATTTATGTGGCTATTATAAATAAAAAACATTTCTTTTTTAAAGCAATGATTCTCAAAATTTAGATGTATTCATTTAATCATGAACCATAGAAACATAGTTTATGGGTTCTCTTCTCCAGACTTTTCAAATGTAACTTGTACAAAAAATTTTTATGACTACTATATCTTCTGGAGAGGCATCTGTTCCTTCTATATAAAGTATTTTAACTTAATTTTCACTTTATCATTTCCATCAGATCTATGGAATATACGGAACCCACAAACAAAACATCAGTCTCAGAATTCTTTCTCCTGGGACTGACAGATGATCCAGAACTGCAGCCCCTCATCTTCAGCCTGTTCCTGTCTATGTACCTGGTCATCATCCTTGGAAACCTGCTCATCATTCTGGCCATTAGCTCTGACTCCCACCTCCACACCCCCATGTACTTCTTTCTCTCCAACCTGTCCTTCAGTGATATCTGTATGAGCACCACCACTATCCCAAAGATGCTGGTGAACATCCAAACACAGAGTCGGAGTATCTCTTACACAACCTGCTTCACCCAGGTTACTTTTGTCTTAATTTTTGCATACCTGGAAACCTTTCTCCTTGCAGTAATGGCTTATGACTGCTATGTGGCCATTTGTCATCCCCTGAGGTATAGGGTCATCATGAGCCCCCACCTCTGTGTCCTGCTTGCTCTGCTCTCTTTATTGTTTAGCATTGGAGATGCCCAGCTCCACACTCTGATGGCACTGAGGTTGTCCTTCTGCACAGACCTGGAAATCCCTCACTTCTTCTGTGAACTTGCTCAGGTCATCAAGCTTGCCTGTTCTGATGCTCTCATTGATAACATCCTGGTTTATGTTTCGCTTTGTGTAGTTGGTGGTATTACTCTTGGTGGAATCTTTTTCTCTTATATCCACATTGTGTCCTTTGTTTTAGGAATGCCATCACAGGGAAGAAAGTATAAGGCTTTTTCCACCTGTGGGGCTCACCTGTCAGTTGTGTCCTTGTTCTATGGCACAGCTTGTGTGGTGTACCTTAGCTCTGCAGTGACAGACTCCCCCAGGAAGACTGCAGTGGCTCCAGTGATGTATTCTGTGGTCCCACAAATGCTAAATCCCTTTATCTACAGCCTAAGGAACAGAGAAATGAAGGAAGCCCTGAGGAAATTCTTTGACAGAATATGTTCTTTTCGTGTTGTTTCATTGGCTTTGTTCCTACAAGACTAAGGTATTCACAGAATTCCTTATGAAATACAATACCTGACTCTCTCACTGCCACATTCTAAAATGACCAAATTACATAAAAATTAAGTTTATGTTACTTTGGGTTTGTTACACGAACGTTTTTTTCCTCCAGATTTTTGATAGTGAACAAATAGTTCCATTCTCTGAAGATGCCTCTTTTTGCTTTCATCATAGAATCAGAGTCTGGACTAGAGGTTCTAGTTTTAGTCATTTTGCTTTGTATATGTGTGTGTGTGTTTTTTATTGATAAGAAGGATTTTACATTTTCATGTGCTACAGTATGAATTATTTGTATACATTATGTGCATACAGTGTTCGGTGATCTTATCAGATTCATTGTCTTATGCACTATCTCATAAACATCACTTCATGTAGGAAACATCAAGCAATCTCTCCTTGAAGTAATTGTTTTCATTTGTATTTATCTTCCTATGCCATACACATTAGAAGTTATTTCTCCTATCCAATTGTGCATTTGCTACTTCTGCTCATTCTTCCATTATTTTATTTATATTTCATATCAATACTCTTACTAGTATATGCTCATAGTACATGACATTTCCATTCCTTGTGTGAAGTTGGTATGCAGATGTAACACAGTAATTCTTTTCATCTTGTTTTCCTCCCCCTCTTCAACCCCTTCCTCCATTTCTTAACTCCCTTCCAATTTAAGACTCATCTCCCTACTTCCTATTATCAATTTTTTTTTGCTGTTTGTTTATAATGCAAGTTTCCCATACAAGGGAAGTCATTCAATATTTAAGCTTGTGTGTCTGATTTATTGCACATAATACTGTGGTTTCCAAATTCATCCATTTTACTAGAGATGACTCAAATTTATCTTTCTTTATGGCAAGTTAGTTCTCCATTGTGTGTAAATACTACACTTTATTTATCTACTCAACTAATGATGAACATATAGGCCATTTCCAAGACTGAGCTATTATGAATTGTGCTGCTATATGCATAAGTATGCATGATTCACTGTAATATGATGATGTTGGGAAGATACTTAGAAAGGGATCATTGAGATCAAATGTAATTTCTAGTTTTGGTCTTTTAAAGAATCTCCATAACTTTTCCATAGTGGTTGTACCAGTTCACATTCCCATAAAAAATTTGCAGGTGTTCCTTTATTAGTGTCGGGCTTATCTTACTGATGCTGGAAACCCAATCGTAGAGGCAGGAGCCCTTTGTTAATGCTAGAGACTTGCTTCTGCCTCACTGAATGACTGGGGGAGTTCATCCGTACTACAATATATGCAAACAGTGTAAAACAGGAACTAAACTTTTGAACACAATTTAGAAATAAATGAAATTATGTGCTGGGCATTTAGCTCAGTGGCTCAGTGTCTGCCTGGCAGGAGCAAGGTCTTGAGTTTGATCCCTGGTAAAGAAAGAAAGAAAGAAAGAAAGAAAGAAAGAAAGAAAGAAAGAAAGAAAGAAGGAAAGAAAACCATGGGATTGATCACTCTTGTCATAGCTTTGTGATAAAAATTTTGTATACAACATGCTTAATTTCTTCACCTTAGCTTCATCACAATTAAGTTATGATATTAACTGAGGTGATTCTGAGATATATTAATTCCACCAGTGAGGACACTTTAGTTTCTGTAAAACAAAATAACTGTAACTATAATATATTCAGTCAAAAAGGAGAGTTATCTTTCAACACCAGGACCTCAGAGGAAGAGAATGTACCTTGATCAATGAGAAGGGCTTCCCTCCTCCTCTCCCCGATTCCTCATGAGCTGGATTGGCACAGGATGCTCCTCATTTCCCCAGATGATTCCACAAGACAGAACCCAGAGTGACTTTCCTTGGATCAGAGGATGAAATAATTTCTGTCATACTAACCAGATAACATCTCTTGGACAAATCAAGCGATGTCCTCCAAATGATGCATCCACATTCAAATTCTCACTCATGAATACTAACTTTTATGAAAAAAGCAAATGTTATTTCTTTAGGGAGACTTTGCAGAAGATTAGTTTATGTTTGATTATCTGTGTAGGTCCTAAATATTACCACAGTGTAGCTTAACTTGCATACAGATGGGGAGTCATCAGAGCAAACGAGGAGTGGAATTGCCACAGAGCCAGACACTTAAGTGATGCAATTAATATTTTATTGGCAATATAATGCAGTTTTTCTCCAAAGTCTGTAAAAACATGTATTTTCATAGCACACATACAGCTTATTAAATTCATGAAAATATGAAAATTTAAATTTCAGAAATGTATTTCATATATGGCTTTTTATTCCTTTATTAGCATTCAGAGATTCAAACATTCTTCATGAGAGATTAAAATATATAGTCATTCTGATGTCAACCTCATCCAGCTAAAGCAAATAATCCAATGGAAAGAGATGACAATCATGAGTATAGCTGTGACAAATACTAATGCACCCAACTATATAAAGCAAATATTAATAGACATAAATAATCAAACACTAATACAATAGTACCAGGGAGACTCAGTACCCCACTGTCACAAATAGACAGATAAACTGGACACAAAATGAACAACAAAGTACTAGAACTAAGTCGAACTCTTGAAAAAAATGACTTAATATGCATTTATAGAGTATTCCACAATACAAAATCAGAGTAAACATTCTTTTCAGCTGCACGTGGGTCATTCTTTAAAATAGACAATATGCTGCCTCATATAAAATGCCTACGGAGTTACATGAGAATTGAGATGTGCCTTATATACTATCAGACAGTAGTGTGATGAAAGTGGAGCTCCATAGCAAATGGGAACCATAAGAACTTCATAAACACATAGAAATTGAATAAAACTTTCCTGAAAAACCAATGGGTCACAGAGGAAATTAAAAGAAAAATTAACAATTTCTACAATCAAATGACAACACCAATACAACATACTGGAATATATGAGGCACCAAGAAAGCAGTCCTGTGAGGGAAATGCATAACAGTAAATAGCCATATTAGGAAAAACAGAGCAAGCACAAATAAAAACCTGATGCTGAACCTTGGGCTTCTGGAAAAAGAAGCATAAAACAAACCCAAAGCTCATATAAGGGAGGAAATTATAAAGCTCAGTGCTGAAATTAATGTAATGGAGACAAAGTGAACAATACAAAAAAATTTGCCAAATTGAAGAGTTGGTTCAATGAAAGAATAAAGAAAATTGACAAAACTCAAGCAAACCTTAATAAAAAATAAGGGAAGAAATAGTGCAAATTCATGCAATTAGCCATGAAAAGGGTGAAATTAAAAAAAGATCCATCAGACATCCAGAGGATTATCAGTACCTAATTTGAGAAACTGTACTCCAATAAGATGGAAAACATGAAAGAAATGGACAAAGCCCTAGATATATGTGAATTACCAAAGTTGAATCAGGAAGATATAAATTTCTAAAGTGCACCTATGTTTATAGCAACACAGTTTCTATTAGCTAAAACTGAGAAACAGCCCATTTGCCCATCAGTTGGAGACTGGATAAAGAAGATATGGTTTTTCTATAAAATCAAATACTACTCAGCCATAAAGAATGAGAAATTAGATTCATTCATAGGAAAATGGATACATATTGAGGATATATACTCCTAAGTGAAATAAACAAGACAAACGTGTAAATATTGAATAGTTTCTCTAGTGTGAAAAACTATAACAGTACATAAGATCCTAATGAGATAATTGACAATGTGAAATAGGAAGAAAAGGGCTAAAAGTGTGGGTAAATTGGGAAGGGTAGAGGAAAGATAATAAGGGAAAAGAAAAAATATGAGAAAATGAAAATATGGAAATAAAGTGTTTGTAAATGGGAAGGGTAGGAGCAGGTGAAGGGAGGGCAGGGACAAGGGGAAAAATGAGAACCAAGACCTGTCATGTAAAGGTTCAAGATCCCAATGACGAATGTTATTGTACTGTATACCTAAAATGTACCAATAAATTTAATGAGAGAAAAAACATTAGAAAAAGCATAAACTATATTACCATTTCAAATTTTGGAAAGCTTAAAAATAATTTTCAGAATAATGAATATAGTGAAAAAATTATTCTTTAATGATAGAGATAAATATTTTCAAAAATACAGATAAGTATTAGCAATATGTATATTAAGAAATTTTAAGATATTGTTATTTAGCAAATTAATGTTTTAAAAATAGTTAAGAAAATACAAAATTCATAATGTAATATGAAATGTTAAAAAAAATTACCAACAGAGAAGTCCCCAGGTCCTGATGGCTTCACTGCTGAATTCCAAAAGTTATTTAAGAAGAATTAATGTCACGATGGATCAAACTTTTAATGAAATTTAAAGAGAAGCTATACTCTTATATTCATTCCTGGAAGCAACCATTACCTTGATTCCAAAAGTAGAGAAAGTCCAAATAGAAAAAAGATAACTATAAGCCAATCTCCATAATGAGCATAGATGCAAAAATTCTCAATTAGATACTTGCAAAAAGAATGCAAATCATCAAGAAGATCATACACCCTTGCCAAGTGTGATTGATTCCAGCCATACATGGATGGCTTGACATATATAGATGAATCAATGTTATACATTTTATTAACAGAGTCAAGGACTAAAAGTATATGATCATTTCAATCAATGAAGAAAAATTGCTTGATAAAATCCAACTCCCATTCATGATAGGAAAAAAAAAACACTAAAGGAAATAGGAATACACAGTCTGTATTTTAAATTCATAAGAACTATCTACAAAAAAAATCAAGAATGGAAATCATACCAACTGGTAAAAAACTGAAATCTTTCAATGCTAAATTAGGGAACAAGAGAAAAATGTCCACAATCCCCATTCCTGTTCAATATAGTTCTAGAATCATTAGGTACAACAATTACACATGAGAAGTAAATAAAAGGAATAAAAATAGGAAATGAAAAAGTTAAACTGTCTTTATTTGCAGATGACCTGATTTTCCATATAGAAGATCCCAAAGTCTCCACCAAAAGTTTCCTAGACTTAACTAGAAAATTC